TTGGAGGGTCTTTCCATGATGTAGGTGCCCCAAACCCTGTAAAACGATAATTTGAACTACCAACATCGATATATAACTTGAACAATGAGATCATGCTTCACTTGCAATAAGTTGATCATGATGGACTCAAGTTCCACAAAGCTGCGTGCACGCAACGAAGCGTGGACTGTTTGCACCTGGCGCACTACGCACAAGGAAGCTATCGTACTGACTGGCTACAGGCAAGTTGCTTGCGCCCGTGGCAGGCTGCACAACGCTCGCCTTGTTTCTGCATGTTTCTGCAGCCTCCTGCGCAAGGTTTCCTCGCTCGGTTTCCGAGAAAGATCCCAGTCGTTGATCGACAGTCGACGACAAAGCGATAACTACTTGTTGGCTGCCGTAGTGGTCACCTCCCCAGTTAGGTGACAAAGATTGATGCCAAAGTTCTCACTCCCGCTTGGCAAAGCAGTCAGTGCATCGGTGCTGACAAGCATGTTTGACGATGAAGTTTCGTTCTACAAAGGCACGGGCAACTGCTAGAGAGGGGCCAGTTCCTTTGACAAGAGCTGCCTTTCGGCTGCTGCTAAACTTTCGCTTTGACATATCCTTTGCCCGCTTGTCAAAGCCTGCCTGCGATTTTCAAACCATTCAGAGCCTTGCAAAGCGACATAGCAAACTACAACAAGCGATAACCGCATACAGAAGATCTGTAGCTTGCTTGGAGGATTTGCCGTTCGCCTATGTGAAGCAAAAACAAAGAGGGTCTCCTGGAGAGCTTTGTGGGCTTTAGCGCTCCATAGGAGGCTCTTCTTTCAATTGATCTGACGTGACTTGGGACCGATCTCAAGGTGCCCCAGGTGCCCCACCACCGAGTACAGGCAGGGTTCAGGGCTTGGGAGGTGACGGGTGTGGAGGTATGCAATGTTTGAGGACATCCTGGTTCATAAGCTTTCAAGACATCAACCCACCCACAAGCCTAGATCATTAGTCCCAGCATCCTGGTACTAGCATTTGATATTTGCTGATGTTGGATGTGACCCGTGGCATGGGAATGCATAGAGAGGGAGGCTGCACGCCCCATTTTCCTGATTGCGGCTCGTAGGGAATGAGGGTGGGAGGGTAGGTGGTCCCACCAAGGAATTCCAAAAGAACCCCCAACATTTTCTCACATTTTCACCAGGAAATCATTGGTGACGCAGGCATCCAGCTGGTTTGGTTTGGCAGGTTTCCGTGTTGGGTTTCGCCTTAGGCAGCATCTTCTGCGGCAGCGCGGAGCGCTCAGCATCGGGCTCGCCCTTCGGAGGCGCACCCGCCGTCACTGGGGGGGTTTTCGACCTTTTTTTGAAACGAGAACCCTAAATGGACGCATCCTTCTTGAGGAACTTCCTGCTTCTTCTGCAACAATGTTTTTTTTTTTTTGGGGGGTTCCTCTTGGGGAGAACTTTGGTGCCAAAGAAAGGACGTGTTCAGCACCCTTTTTTGAGCTGCGCTCGCTGTTGCACGTCGCAGGCGACGCTGCGGCCCTGTTTGGCAGCTCCGCAGGTCTGGCTCCGCTGCGGTGTCCGACGTTTCCGGTGTCCCAACGACATCGCTCGGGGAGTTTGGGAAGTTTAAAACGGATCTCCCGACGAAAGGGCAAACCAAAGAGGATCTTCCATAGAAGTGTCAAACCCCTGGAACATGTTTTGGAAAACAAAGGATCATCATCATCATCATCACCATCATCACCATCATCATCATCATCCATCATCCATCATCCATCATCCATCATCCATCACCCATCACCCATCATCCATCATCCATCATCCATCATCCATCATCCATCATCCATCATCATCATCGTCATCATCATCATCATCATCATGCATCATCATCATGCATTATCATCATCATCACGCATCATCATCATGCATCATCATGCATCATCATGCATCATCATCATCATCATCATCATCATCATCATCATCATCATCATCA